AGGTGCCCACCACAAGGTCCGGATATTTTTTTGTTGCAGTTGTCATTGTTTAGCAGGCCTGGGCCAGGTTTGAACCCTGTCAGCCTCAGTGCATGTGGCCAGTGCTGTAACCACCGCCGTGGGCACCGAGCCAAGACTTTTAAGTAAACGTCAAATAGTGTGTTGGATCATTTTGGCTATAGTGGGGAGGATGAGTAAGAAAGGGGCAAGAGTTGAGGTATAGGACTAGTTAAGACTAACCAGAGATTGTTATAGGTGGGTTCATAGTTAATGATGGTCTCAGTTGCTTTTTTCAATGTAAAGCAATTATTTGGATCCTGTTACTCAAGGCTAGAGCACATAGCTCTTTTCTTGAATTCAGTTTAGAGTGCTAAAATGCATTTTGAGTAGTATAAAAAGTTCTAAGCTACTGTATACATTTTGATTTGGATCACTGATTTTTTTTTTTTTGAGGAAAGATTTTATTTTACTTTGTATGGAACTTTAGCAAGAGTTGTTTACCATTTCAGAAAAATACATTGCCAATGGCAATATCTCGCATATATTTGAGTCCGAAACATACAAAGAAACAAAATCCACCAGTATTAACGTGGTATAATTGTTCCATTCTTGGTGATTCTATGTTTAGAGGCAAACATTAGATTACTTATTGAAGTCTTTTAGTGTAATCATGCCTGAATGTGTATCTATTGAAATCCCACCAAAACCCAGCGCTGGATGCTGATTGGGTGTATCCTCAGAGGCCGGACTCCGCCTGCGGGGTGAAGAAGGGGAGGCGGGAAACAGTGTAGTGGGTGCGGGGTCGTGCGGCTCTCTCAACCAGGTGGTGGAGTAAGGTTTTGAAATGGCGGTGCAGCCGAAGGAGACGCTGCAGCTGGAGAGCGCGGCCGAGGTCGGCTTCGTGCGCTTCTTCCAGGGCATGCCGGAGAAACCAACCACCACGGTGCGCCTCTTTGACCGAGGCGACTTCTACACAGCTCACGGCGAGGACGCGCTGCTGGCCGCCCGGGAGGTGTTCAAGACCCAGGGCGTGATCAAGTACATGGGGCCCGCAGGTGAGGGTCGGCACGAGCGGGCTCGGGAGGGACCCGGGATCCTGGGCGGCAGTCCCCACACCACCCCAAAGAAGCGAGTGGCGAGCAGCCTTT